GTCCCATCACTCTGTTTTCCTCCCTCTGCAGCATCCTCCTCCTGTCCCATCTCTCTGTTTTCCTCCCTCTGCATCCTCCTCCTGTCCCATCTCTCTGTTTTCCTCCCTCTGCATCCTCCTCCTGTCCCATCACTCTGTTTTCCTCCCTCTGCAGCATCCTCCTCCTGTCCCATCTCTCTGTTTTCCTCCCTCTGCATCCTCCTCCTGTCCCATCTCTCTGTTTTCCTCCCTCTGCATCCTCCTCCTGTCCCATCTCTCTGTTTTCTTCCCTCTGCATCCTCCTCCTGTCCCATCTCTCTGTTTTCCTCCCTCTGCATCCTCCTCCTGTCCCATCTCTCTGTTTTCCTCCGTCTGCGTCCTCCTCCTGTCCCATCTCTCTGTTTTCCTCCCTCTGCAGCATCCTCCTCCTGTCCCATCTCTCTGTTTTCCTCCCTCTGCAGCATCCTCCTCCTGTCCCATCTCTCTGTTTTCCTCCCTCTGCATCCTCCTCCTGTCCCATCTCTCTGTTTTCCTCCCTCTGCATCCTCCTCCGGTCCCATCTCTCTGTTTTCCTCCCTCTGCATCCTCCTCCTGTCCCATCTCTCTGTTTTCCTCCCTCTGCATCCTCCTCCTGTCCCATCTCTCTGTTTTCCTCCCTCGGCATCCTCCTCCTGTCCCATCTCTCTGTTTTACTCCGTCTGCGTCCTCCTCCTGTCCCATCTCTCTGTTTTCCTCCGTCTGCAGCATCCTCCTCCTGTCCCATCTCTCTGTTTTCCTCCCTCTGCAGCATCCTCCTGTCCCATCTCTCTGTTTTCCTCCCTCTGCATCCTCCTCCTGTCCCATCTCTCTGTTTTCCTCCCTCTGCATCCTCCTCCGGTCCCATCTCTCTGTTTTCCTCCCTCTGCATCCTCCTCCTGTCCCATCTCTCTGTTTTCCTCCCTCTGCATCCTCCTCCTGTCCCATCTCTCTGTTTTCCTCCGTCTGCGTCCCCCTCCTGTCCCATCTCTCTGTTTTCCTCCCTCTGCATCCTCCTCCTGTCCCATCTCTCTATTCTCCTCCCTCTGTATTCTCCCTCGGCCTCCTCTGGGAAACTGGGAATCTGGCAAAGAAACCGGGAAAGGAACCGGGAAGCCGGAAAACCGGGAAAGAAACCGGGAAACTGGGAAAGAAACTGGCAAACCAGGAAACCGGGAAAGAAACCGGGAAACCGGGAAAGAAACCGGGAAAGGAACCGGGAAAGAAACCGGGAAACCGGGAAGAAACCGGGAAACCGGGAAATTGGGAAACCGGGAAACTGGGAAACCGGGAAAGAAACCGGGACTACCTTTCCTCTATACCTACCCTCTCTACCTTCCCTCTCTACCTTCCCTCTCTACCTTCCCTCTATACCTACCCTCTCTACCTTCCCTCTCTACCTTCCCTCTATACCTACCCTCTCATGTTTGGTGGCACATGATGAGCCCTATGGTGCTGATGCCACCTGTTGCATGAGAGCAGGATGCTTATCGGTAATAATCAAGTGTAGCAACTACATTTTGTTGACATTAATAGCAAAAGCGGAGCAGCAATGTATGGTGGCACATGATGAGCCCTATGGCACTGATGCCACTGCAATGTGCTGATTTGAGCTAAATCTTCTTTCGTGTGCTGTGCCATGCTGTGCATGGCATGGCATGGCATCTCATGGCATTTCATGGAATGGCATGGTGGCATGGCATGCCTGTGATAGGATGGCATGGAATGGCTTGTCATGGTTGGCATGGCATCGCATGGCATGGCAAGAAATGGCATAGCATGGCTTGAAAAGTCCAGGGAAGGCGACAACAGCTGGAAGGGAGTACAGAAGGGCAGGCAAGCAAGGCAGACATGAGAGGACGCTGAGCAATGGTGGAAGTTTTGGAGAGTGGGGAGGATAGCGATGGGGCAAGATTTTTTATGCTACTCAGATGGGTATTACGTAGACGTGCCCATGTGGCACTGCAATCGTGTATAAGTTGAAGTACTCTTTCGGTTTCAGTTACATGCAACAAAAAGGTGAGAAAACCCCGTTTTCTTTCTCGTTGCAGGCCGCTTACGAGATGGAGAAAGGCTTTGATAAAAAGGTGTATTGTTTATATTACGGTATGCATTTATTGCTAGATTTATTATATTCGGAGACACAAAATCTTGGGTTTTGAAATCAATAACTAGTTATTTAGTTGTTCACTATTATTGGTTAACATTGCCATTTCACAAATGGAACATTGATAGACCTGCAAGTCCATATATTTTGCCTCCCTCACCATTTGAAGATTTAGTTTCTCTGCTATTTGTTGCTCTATCGTCTTCAAACGAGGACAATACCGAAAGGAGAGGTTCAGGGGTTGGCTGTCAGAATCACAGTGGATAAATATTTTCCCGCCGAGGTAGAGTCGAGGTTTAGGAGTTTCTACCAGCAGGTTGACGAATAGCTTCACTACCTGCTGAGGGTCATATTTGACTGAAAGACTCGCGGATCATCTACGCCTTAGGCGGTCAGGCTTCGTTACAGTCACATTGCCGTACCGGATCGTCGATCGGCAGGCACTGTTGCTTGTAGTGTCGCCGCTTTGCAGTTGCACTAGTTGTATCAGTACCTGGTTACCTGGAAGCCTCCCGTGCTGCGTCGTTCATTATCGACGGGAGCTGCGTTAGGGGAATTCTGTTGAAATTAGGTCATTCACTCGTGCGCGTCGCAACGTTTCGTCGTTGAGCGTGCGGAGGAGGCGCGCGAAGCGGGTAGTGCGGTTAGTCTGTATGAGAAGCTACGTTAGGCATTTCGTTCTCTCATTTCCGCGAAGCGGTCAAGCTGTGTTCGGAGACCTCGCCGCAGGTCGTTCGCGCGTCTGCTCCTTCGTTCGCTTCTCACAATCCCGCGCTTGCGCGTTCGTCTGTTGATTCGCGCGTCTGCGCGTTCGATCGTTAATTCGCGCGTGTATTAGCGCAGTGCGCTTCGTGAGTTATCACAGCGTAGCGAGCGCGAGCGCGAGCGTGTGTTTAGCGCAGGTCGCGCGCATGGCGGTGTCGTTCGAGGGCGACGACGTGCGGCAGGGCGTGCCGGAGAACCTCGAGAACCTCGTCGCGCCGCACATCGACTCTTTCGACTATTTCGTCGAGCGCGGGTTACCAGAAGCTGTTCGCCTGATTCGACCCGTGGAAGTGCACGACTCGTTCAGGAAGCTCAAATTCTACTGTAAGACAAACCCGAGACCTAAGAGTCGTTGTGAGATCAGCTAACTGATTTTTGCTGACTGACATGCATCCCCCCCGCTCCGAATATGCAACTGCATTTGCACTCCCTCATTTTCTACTGAAAGCGTATCCTTCTCGACTCCCTTTCTCATCAACTCCTTGAAATCGAGATTTCGGGTTTCCTTGTCTCCCTTCCTTACGCAGTGTGGTGGGAGAATCCGAGCATCACAAAGCCTTTTAGCGAGGATGGCCAGCACCGACCCGTTTACCCCTCAGAGGTACACCGCATCACAGCACTGGCAAAGCATTCGGCCCTGGAGTGGGAAGGGAGGGAGAGGGGGGGGGGGGGGGGGTTCCCGGGGGGCACTGAAGGGGTTGCTCGTCGCATAGGTTCCTGTGCTTGGCGCGCCGTAACAACAGAACCCTTGGGGCTCTGCTTCGCTTCCCTCTCAGCTCCCCCCCTTTCACCCCACCACCTTCCCTTGCAAGGCTACTGTCGCCGCGGGCACCACGTAAATCCCTTTCCCCCATTTTTCCCCTCGTTTCCGCTCTCCGCCCCCATCTTTCCCCCTCTTCTTGCCACACCAGTGCCGCCAGGCTGGCACCACCTACCGGGGCGACTTCCGCATCGACCTCTGCGTCTCCTACTTTGACGAGGACGATGACGTGGCGCTTGCTGACGTGGCCAAGGGCCCCATGCAGCGCCAGCAGCTGAGCCTCGGGAGAGTGCCAATCATGGTCAAGGTGCGTGCTGACATGACACGAGCGGGTGCGAATGCATGCTACTCCCTCCCACCCGTGCTGCAGCCTTGCAAATCCCTCTGCACCCTCTTCTTTTACCCCTGAATGCGCCGTGCTGCCCCCTCCTGCTGCATGCAGCCAGGCGCTGACTCAGGAGCAGCTCGTGTGAACTTTGAGACTTTTGTACCCATGCATGCCCATCTTTACCCCTGTGTATCCCTGCATGGCCCTCTGCACCCATGCAGTCGGGCTCATGTCATCTGCGCCATCTCACACAGGAGCAGCTCGTGCGGCGCAAGGAGGAGAGCATCGAGCTCGGCGGGTACGCTGGCCTTGTGCTGAAACGGGCTTGCTGTGCTGTTCTGTGCGGTGCTGTACGGTTCTGGGTTTTGGCACAGCGCAGAATGTTGGAAGTAATTTTTCCTTCATCTGCAACAGCATTAAGCGCCTCATTTGCCTGCTCGTTGCTCCCCATGTCAACCATCCCCTTCAATCATACCAAAAGGCGATCATGCCTCCATGCCCCTTGATTCGGATCATCCGCTTCCCCGATGCCCCCAACACTGGATCCCCATGCCTTCCCATCCATGCGCCATGTGAGCAGCCACTTCATCTGCAACGGCATCGAGCGCCTCATCCGCCTGCTCAATGCATCGCCTGTCAACCCAGGGGGTCATGCCCCCATGCCCCGTACTCCATCCATCCCATCCCCCCCATTACCCTTACTCTCCATCCCCATGTGCCACCCCCCCTCTCCCCCCCCCACCTGCCATGCGAGCAGCTACTTCATCTGCAACGGCATCGAGCGTCTCATTCGCCTGCTCATTGCTCCCCGCCGCAACTATGTGAGCCCCGTGTTGCTGTGAGGCGAATGTTGCTGTGGGCTGAGTGTTGGTACACGCATTGAGAGGGCGTTTCCAATCTTCACAAGTACGGTCAATCCTGCTGTCTTTTAAATCAGGCTCTGTTCGGTCAACTAGGGGTTCGTTCATGTTTTGAGACGTCTCTTTTAAATCAGGCCCCGTGATTCAAGCGCAGCAATCAAACACCTTTCCATCGCAGGCGCACCTTCACTGAGTGATGGTCACGCCGCCGCCCCTCCTTTCTTCCCCGTCGCCCTCCTCCCCTCCTGCTCCCTCCCTGCTCGCCCCCCCCACACCACCACCAGGTGATGAATCTGCGGCGCCCCACGCTGCTAAAGAAGGGGGTCAACTTCTCTGACATGGCCACCACCATTCGGTGAGCATGAGATGAGGTGAGCACGAGATGAGGTGAGCACGAGATGAGGTGAGCACGAGATGAGGTGAGCACGAGATGAGGTGAGCACGAGATGAGGTGAGCACGAGATGAGGTGAGCACGAGATGAGGTGAGCAGGAGATGAGGTGAGCACGAGATGAGGTGAGCAGGAGATGAGGTGAGCACGAGATGAGGTGAGCACGAGATGAGGTGAGCACGAGATGAGGTGAGCACGAGATGAGGTGAGCACGAGATGAGGTGAGCACGAGATGAGGTGAGCACGAGATGAGGTGAGCACGAGATGAGGTGAGCACGAGATGAGGTGAGCAGGAGATGAGGTGAGCAGGAGATGAGGTGAGCAGGAGATGAGGTGAGCAGGAGATGAGGTGAGCAGGAGATGAGGTGAGCACGAGATGAGGTGAGCACGAGATGAGGTGAGCACGAGATGAGGTGAGCACGAGATGAGGTGAGCACGAGATGAGGTGAGCACGAGATGAGGTGAGCACGAGATGAGGTGAGCAGGAGATGAGGTGAGCACGAGATGAGGTGAGCACGAGATGAGGTGAGCAGGAGATGAGGTGAGCAGGAGATGAGGTGAGCACGAGATGAGGTGAGCACGAGATGAGGTGAGCACGAGATGAGGTGAGCACGAGATGAGGTGAGCACGAGATGAGGTGAGCACGAGATGAGGTGAGCACGAGATGAGGTGAGCACGAGATGAGGTGAGCACGAGATGAGGTGAGCACGAGATGAGGTGAGCACGAGATGAGGTGAGCACGAGATGAGGTGAGCACGAGATGAGGTGAGCACGAGATGAGGTGAGCACGAGATGAGGTGAGCACGAGATGAGGTGAGCACGAGATGAGGTGAGCAGGAGATGAGGTGAGCAGGAGATGAGGTGAGCAGGAGATGAGGTGAGCAGGAGATGAGGTGAGCAGGAGATGAGGTGAGCACGAGATGAGGTGAGCAGGAGATGAGGTGAGCAGGAGATGAGGTGAGCACGAGATGAGGTGAGCAGGAGATGAGGTGAGCACGAGATGAGGTGAGCACGAGATGAGGTGAGCAGGAGATGAGGTGAGCACGAGATGAGGTGAGCACGAGATGAGGTGAGCAGGAGATGAGGTGAGCAGGAGATGAGGTGAGCACGAGATGAGGTGAGCACGAGATGAGGTGAGCACGAGATGAGGTGAGCACGAGATGAGGTGAGCACGAGATGAGGTGAGCACGAGATGAGGTGAGCACGAGATGAGGTGAGCACGAGATGAGGTGAGCACGAGATGAGGTGAGCACGAGATGAGGTGAGCACGAGATGAGGTGAGCACGAGATGAGGTGAGCACGAGATGAGGTGAGCACGAGATGAGGTGAGCACGAGATGAGGTGAGCACGAGATGAGGTGAGCACGAGATGAGGTGAGCACGAGATGAGGTGAGCACGAGATGAGGTGAGCACGAGATGAGGTGAGCACGAGATGAGATGAGCACGAGATGAGGTGAGCACGAGATGAGGTGAGCACGAGATGAGGTGAGCACGAGATGAGGTGAGCACGAGATGAGGTGAGCACGAGATGAGGTGAGCACGAGATGAGGTGAGCACGAGATGAGGTGAGCACGAGATGAGGTGAGCACGAGATGAGGTGAGCACGAGATGAGGTGAGCACGAGATGAGGTGAGCACGAGATGAGGTGAGCACGAGATGAGGTGAGCACGAGATGAGGTGAGCACGAGATGAGATGAGCACGAGATGAGGTGAGCACGAGATGAGGTGAGCACGAGATGAGGTGAGCACGAGATGAGGTGAGCATGAGATGAGGTGAGCATGAGATGAGGTGAGCATGAGATGAGGTGTAGCTGGCTGTGGTAGCCCGTGGGTGATGTGTGTGTGAGTGTGAACGCACATGGTATGGGGTGCGGTGTGTTGTGAGCATACTGACGCCCCACGCTGCTATGGAAAGGGTGCTTTTCCGCACCTCGATCTATCTGAAGTGGCTGTTGTTGCTGGCTGGTTTTTGAGTTTTTTCATAAAGCGTCATTCAGTGAGAGGCACGTGCCCGAGTTTAGTTTGTTGTCTAGAAGCGTGCATGTGGCGAGGAGAAGCATGTATCTGGGTGCATCACACTGTGATATGACATGGCATGATGATGATGATGATGATGATGATGATGATGATGATGATGATGATGATGATGATGATGATGATGATGATGATGATGGTGGTGGTGGTGGTGGTGGTGGTGGTGGTGGTGGTGGTGGTGGTGGTGGTGGTGGTGGTGGTGGTGGTGGTGGTGGTGGTGGTGGTGGTGGTGGTGGTGGTGGTGGTGGTGGTGGTGGTGGTGGTGGTGGTGGTGGTGGTGGTGGTGGTGGTGGTGGTGGTGGTGGTGGTGGTGGTGGTGGTGGTGGTGGTGGTGGTGGTGGTGGTGGTGGTGGTGGTGGTGGTGGTGGTGGTGGTGGTGGTGGTGGTGGTGGTGGTGGTGGTGGTGGTGGTGGTGGTGGTGGTGGTGGTGGTGGTGGTGATGATGATGGCGATGATGATGATGATGATGATGATGATGATGATGATGATGATGATGATGATGATGATGATGATGATGATGATGATGATGATGATGATGATGATGATGATGATGATGATGATGATGATGATGATGATGATGATGATGATGATGATGATGATGATGATGATGATTTTATGTGCATTGTGTGGTGTGGCATGGTGACTCAACTGACATGGCATGGCATGGTGTCCTTCCGGACTATGCGTGTTTGGCATGTGGTGCATGCAGGTGTGTGCGCACGGACCAATCAGCAGTGACCAACAGGGTTGTCTATGTCAACGACGGCAACGCATGCTTCAACTTCTCGTCAGTCCCTCCCCGCCTTCACTCTCCCCCCCCGCCCCCCCTCACCCCCCCCCCCCCCCCCCCTTTCACTCGCTCCCCGCCTTCACCTCCTCCCCGCCTTCACCCCCTCCCTGCCTTCCCTCGTTCCTGCCTTCACTCCCTCGCCAACCTCCCTCCCTCCACTCTTTCTCCCTCCATCACCCCTCCACCCTCCCTCCCTCCATCACCCCTCCACCCTCCCTCCCTCCATCACCCCTCCACCCTCCCTCCCTCCATCACCCCTTCACCACCCTTCGCTCCACACCCCTCCCCCAGATCACCACCCTCTCCTCTCCCTCCCCTCCAGTCAGCCTGCCTCCCTTTCCCCTCTCCTTCCTCACTTCCCAATTCTTCCTCACCATTCCCCCTCGCCACCAGTCACTGCATGCCTGCAAATGCTCATACAATCCCCAAACTGATCACTCCTCTTTTTGAGGCACCTAAAAAATGCAATTACTCAATCACTTGCAGTCCCCCAACTCATCACTCCTCCACTCACTCTGCCGCTGATGCCCGCAATTTTCTCTCCTTCCTTCCTCCACCCACACTCCCTCTCTGCATCTACTCTCCCCTACAGCCTGAGGAAGCAAGAGTATTTCATCCCCGTGGGAATCATTCTCAAGGTGAGCTGCTTGCAGGTGTTGTGAACGTTTCAGTGCGGTGGTGAACGGTACGTGTGGTGTGGGTGCTGCGCCGGGATTCCCAAGGTGCTCGTTGCCATTCACGTGTTGTGTTGCCCTTATGGCCGGCCAACACTCATGAATGAACGCCCTTACTTCATGGCACCACCAGCACCATCCCTTTCCTATCATTGTGCCTTTTTGGCTGTGCTCAACTGCTCACGGAACAACGTACGGTCCAGATGCAGAGCTTCTACCCTCATCCAACGGCTTACCTGGCTTCTTGTTCCATTCACCTCCCCCCCTCTCCCACCCGTCTGGAATCTCCCCTTTCAGTGCCTAATGGACGTCTCAGATGCAGAGCTGTAAGAGCATCTGACGGCCATCCTGACAGCAGAGCAGGCTGCAGCCGACCCTCCGGAGAGTGACACGCAGCTCACAGCAACCAAAGGAGGACAGCAGAAGCAGCAACAAAACCACCAGCAGCGGAGGCGGCGGCGGCGGCAGCGGCGGGTTTGGGAACGCAGTTTGTGAGGGAGAGGGCGCTGGTGGTGTTGAGTCACCCGCGCTCCCTGGGCCTCTTCACTCGAATGGAGTGCCTGACTTTCCTCGGGAAGACCTTCCGCCCCGCTGTGAACGTCCCCAGCTACAAGTCAGACGCCCATGTGAGTGGCTTGTTGTGAGGTCTGAGACTGAGTCAGTTTGTGAGAGAGAGGGCGCTGGTGGTGTTGAGTCACCTGCGCTCTCTGTGCCTCTTCACGCGCATGGAGTGCCTTGCTTTCCTTGGGAAGACCTTCCGCCCCGCTGTCAACGTGCCCAGCTACAAGTCAGACGCCTATGTGAGTGGCGTGGCGGCAGCACAGCCTATGTGGCTCGCGCTGGCTGAACGAGCCATGTGGGTTGGGTGAAAACTCTTGATTCGTGCGTGCGTATCGTGGTGTTGAGTCACGCGTGCTCTCGTCTCTTCATGCGCAAGTAGTGCCCGGCATTGTAAACTTCCCCGGCAGCAAGTCCGATGCATATGTGAGTGGCGTGGCGTGGCAGCGGATCAGCACAGACCTTGTGCGCGTGGCACCTCTTCTCCTTCCTGCGCAGCGCACCCCCTTCCTTCCTCTTCCCAACTCCCTCTGTCCCCCCTCTGCCTCCCACCTGTTCAACCCCAACGCCCTCATGTGAGGCAGCAGGTCATTATGGGCTCTGTACTTGTGCGCCTCTCTTCCTCCTCCTTCTGCCTCCTCTCATGCTGTCTGTCACCCTCCATCCCCTCCATCCGCTCCCTCTCTCTCGCCCTTTTCCACAGGTGGGGCAGCAGATCATATCGGACCTGGTGCTCGTGCATCTAGACAAGCCCGTGGACAAGCTGCGCCTGCTTGTGTGAGTTGCTCCCTGTACTCTCCTCTCCACGTGCCCTCCCACGTGCCTCCATGCATGCCTCCATGCATGCCTCCACGGACCTGGTGCTCGTGCATCTAGACAAGCCCTTGGACAAGCTCCGCCTGCTTGTGTGAGTCGCTCCCTCCTTTCCTCCCTGTGTGTGTACTGCTCCCTCAAACTTCCATCCATGTGGCTCCCTGTACCCGCCTCCTCATGCCTCCACACATGCCTCCACACATGCCTCCACACATGCCTGCACGGGCCTTGTGCTCGTGCATTTCGACAAGCCCAGGGACAAGCAAGCACCGTCTTCTCGTGTGAGTTGCGCCCTCCCTGCCTGTACCTTCCATCCATGTCGGTTCCTGTACCCTCCACGTGTCGTCATACATATCTCCCCACGTGCCTCCGCATGCCTCCATGTGGGCTTGCGCTTGGGTACCTTCAACGTAGCTCCGTGATGTGATTGAAGAAGTGTTTTGAGACGTCTCAAAACGCATGCCTCCGTGTGGGCTTGCGCTTGGGTACCTTCAACATAGCTCCGTGATGTGATTGAAGAAGTGTTTTGAGACGTCTCAAAACGCATGCCTCCGTGTGGGCTTGCGCTTGGGTACCTTCAACGTAGCTCCGTGATGTGATTGAAGAAGTGTTTTGAGACGTCTCAAAACGCATGCCTCCGTGTGGGCTTGCGCTTGGGTACCTTCAACGTAGCTCCCCAAGTGCACGTATCTTCTGCTCACAAGGCTGAACTCGCATCGCCCTGTGCGCAGAAGATACGCTTCATGCTGCACAAGCTGTGGTCGATGCGATGCTGGACGGACTATCTCAGGAGGACGGCACGGCATGGATACTCTCACGCACCACGAGCTCTAAAAGGCCTCATCTCCCCCCTTGTGCTTGGCTCTCTTTGCTTGTGCCTGTGCCTGCCTCTAACTCTTGTCTTCGTGCTTCCCCCCCTCCCTCTCAGCTTCATGCTGCACAAGCTATGGTCGATGGTGGATGGGCTATCCCAGGAGGACTCACAAGACACGCTCATGCATCACAAGCTCTAATGCGCGTCACCTCCCCCCTTGTGCTTGTGGCCCCACTTCCCCCCCATTAACAGCTTCATGCTGCACAAGCTGTGGTCGATGGTGGATGGGCTATCACAGGAGGACTCAATGGACACGCTCATGCATCACGAGCTCTACCTGCCGGGCCACATCCTCAACATCTTCATCAAGGTCCGCTCCCTCTCTAAGAAGTTGTAACTGCTCTAACTGCTGCACTCCCTATGCCTGCCTATGCAACGCACCCCTTCCCTCCCCTCCCCTCCCCTCCCCTCCCCTTGTGCCCCCTTCACTTCTCCGTATTCCGCAATCCGCCATCACAGGAGAAGCTCGAGCTACACTCGCAACTTTCGTTTCACTTCTCCTCCCCGTTGCCCTTGTCACCCCCCCCTTCCCTTCCCTGCCCTCCCATCCCCTTCCCTTCCCTCCCGCCCCCTTCCCTTCCCTCCCCTTACCTTCCCTTCTCCATACCCCACATTCCACCATACCAGGAGAAGATACAGCTGCACAAGATTAATTCGCATGCCCCCCCCCCTCACTTCTCCTGCCCTGTATCCCACACTCCACCCTCGCAGGGAAAGCTGCTGCTACGCCTGCACAAGTTACACGCGCATGCGGCATGTCGCCCGCCCCTTTCCTCCCCTCCCCTCCCCTTGTTTCCCCTTCCCTCTTCTCCACCTCAGGAGAAGCTGCACCTACACCTGCACAAGATCCAAGCGCACGCCGCCCAGGAGCTCGTCGACAACCCCACCACCACGGACCTCCGCGCCTCCAACTGGCTGCGCCGCCTCGTCGAGGGCGGCCGGCCCGGGGCGGCAGGGGCGGCGCCGGCCGGCGGGCTGGCGATGACGTTTATAGGGAAGGACATAGAGTACATGCTGAACACGGGGAACCTGGCGAGCCCATCGGGGCTGGACATGCAACAGAGGTCGGGATTCACTGTCGTGGCTGATAAACTCAACTGGCACCGCTACCTCTCGCATTTCCGCTCCGTGCATCGCGGGGCGTTCTTCTCAACACTGCGGACCACCACTGTGCGCAAGCTGCTGCCAGAGTGAGTAGCGTGGGTGGGTGTGCGATGGGGTAGGGGCAGCCAGGAAGGTTTCGAATGGGCACATGGAGGAGCTTTCTTTCCACTCTCCGCACCACCACTGTGCACAAGCTGCTGCCAGAGTGAGTGTGCCTAACAGGGGGCGGAGGTGGGAGGTGTGGGGCTCCCCTGCCCGGCGGCCTCCTCAGTTACCCAACGCGCAGCACTTTTTTTCCTTTCCTCACTCCCTCATCTTTCAATTCCCCCGTCCTTGCTTCTCACCCCATGAATGCAGGTCGTGGGGGTTCGTGTGTCCCGTGCACACACCAGACGGCGCCCCCTGCGGCCTCCTCACTCACCTGTCAGCCCCATGCACAGTCACCACCGACCTCACCCCCCCTCCCCTCGCCTCCCCCTCCCCCTCCGCCCCCTCCTCCGCCTTAGCCCTCCTCCCCTCCACTCCTGGCTCTGCACTCGTCCCCCACACCCCCTCCACACCTGCTGGAACTCCCGGAGCAGCCTCCCTAGCCTTGGGGCTAGGTTCGGGGGTAGGCTCGGTGAAGTCCCGCGACGCGATTGGCCGAGCGGTGCTGCGGTGTCTGGCGCCGTTTGGGCTGGTGGCGGTGGGGGCGGGGGTGCCGCCCCCTGCGCCGTCTCCGGTGTTTCTGACGGTGATGGTGGATGGGTGTGTGCTGGCACACATTCACTCGGAGATGGCACCGGCTGCTGTGAAGCATCTGAGGTGCCTTAAGGCCACTGGCGAGGCTGGGGTGAGTGGCACTAACTGTTTGTTCCCCTAGTTGTGAGTGTGGTATGCAGTTCAGTGGGGCTAGTGGCAGTGTTTCTGATGGTGATGGTGGATGGGTGTGTGATGGGGCACATTCATTCCGAGATGGCACCAACTGCGGTGAAGCATCTGAGGTGCCTCAAGGCTACTGGGGAGGCTGGGGTGAGTGGCGTCAGCTGTGTCTTTCTGTGGTTTGATGTGGTTTGCAGTGGGTCTGGTGGAGGTGTTTCTGACCGTGATGGTGCATGGTTGTGTGCTAGGGCACATTCATTCCCACACCACCCGGTGCCATGTGAAGCATTTGAGGTGCCTTAAGGCTACCAGCGAGGCGGGGGTGAGTGGTGCGAGCAGCGCTAGCGTTGGCTGGTTTGACTGGAGTGGGGTTTGGAGTGCAGGTGATGGTGCCATCTGCATTTCTTGGGGGCTGTTTCTAAATGCCTTGCTTGCTTCTCCCCTCCCCCATCATTCATCTCCCTTTCCACTCCAACCCCTGTCCCCCCCCTCCCCCCCACTCCAACCTTCCCACCACCCGCGCAGATCCCTCGGGACCTAGAGGTTGCTTACATCCCATTCTCCCAGCAAGGAACCTTCCCGGGCATCTTCCTCTTCTCCGCACCGGCGCGCTTCGTCCGACCAGTGCGGCAGCTGCCCGCGCTCAACCCCAGAGCCACCGCTGCACCCACATTCGAGCTCATCGGTAGTCTGGAGCAGGTGGGCACTGGAGCAGGTACAGGTAGGTTAGCAGTCTAGTCTAGTGCTGGTGGGCGTTCCCCTCAGGGTGGAAAATTGCGGTTAAGGAAATTTTCACTTGGAAATTTTTGGTGGAAATTTTCGGGCAGATTCTGAAAATTTCGGCGAATTTTTGTTAGACCATAAAAAAAAGTCAAAAAAATTCCTGGCGGCGAAATGCCAGATATATGCAGAGATCTGGTGCCTAAATCGCAGATCCGCCTAGGTCTAGTGGCGAAATGTCAGGTCCGCCTAGATCTATCGGCGGAATGCCAGATCCGCCCAGATCTGGCAGCGAAATGGCAGATATCTGCAAAGATGTGGTGCCTACATGGTAGATCTGCCTAAATTTGGCGGCCTAATGACAGTAAGATTTGCACCCATCGTTTTTTTTCCATTTATTCACGATTTTTACATTTCTTTTCTTAAAATTTCGGACGAATTCTTACACCAAACTTATATATTTTTTTCTGACCGAAATTATCGAAAAACACGGGGGGGATTTTCGACAGCGATTTTTTCGCCCAAAATTTGAAAATTTCGGCGAAATTTTGCACCCTGGTTCCCCTCTTCCCCCCTTCATCCATCCGTCCTGTGCGGCAGCTGCCCTTGCTCAAACCCCAGGGCCACCGCAGTAGCAACGAGAACGGCATGGGAGCGAGGCAGGGAGAGTGCATGGCTTAGGCATGGGCATGTGAGAAGCAGAACATTCAGCTACATCTGCTGGGTTCTGCTTCTCACTCGCCCACGCCCACCATTTGTACTCTCCCTTGCTACAACTCTCCTATGTATCTTTCTTACTTCTCCCACTTTTCCCGTTCCTTTCTTGTACCCCATCTTCCCCTTCCCCCTACCACTCCTTTCCCTCTCTTCTCCCTCTTCCCCATCTTCCTCCCTTCCTCCCGGCAGGTTTTCCTCGACGTGCTCTGCCCTGATGGTTCGTCGTCCCCTTCCGCCCCATCCGGCCAAGCCTCGACGGCAGGTTCGGCGACGCACGAGGAGGTTCGGCCGACGGATATCTTGAGTGTGATGGCGAGCCTGACTCCCTGGTCGGATTACAACCAGAGCCCCCGCAACATGTACCAGTGCCAGGTCAGCACAGCATGTACCAGTGCCAGGTCAGCACAGCATGTACTGGTGGCAGGTCAGCAAATGTACTGGTGCCAGGTCAGCATCTTGCACTCTAGATTGTGAATTCCGACCTCTGAGCTCTGAATCATGCCGTGTTTTAGGTTAGGGTGCACTGGTGCTCGCACTGGTGTAGAAAATAGGTGAGGGGTTAGCAGGTCGAAAATTCACACTCCTTTTTCTCACACGTGTGTGTGCGCTCCCATACCTGTGTGTCATATGTCTGTATTGTCATTCCATGTGTTTTTGTCCAACAGATGGGCAAGCAAACGATGGGCATGCCAGTGCACTTTTCCCCTTCCGCAACGACAACAAGCTGTACCGCCTGCAGACGCCGCAGACACCCCCAATGCTCCTTCCTTGCTCCACATCTTGAGGCGCTTCCAGTGCCCTTCTTTCTCCCCTGCATGTGTGTGTGTGCACCTGTGTATGTATGCTCCCATCCCATCTATGTGTGTCCACTCATCAGATGGGCAAGCAAACGATGGGCATGCCACTGCACTCGTTCCCCTTCCGCAATGACAACAAGCTGTACCGCCTGCAGACGCCCCAGACGCCCATCGCACGCACGGCAGCGTATGACGACTATGCCATGGACCACTACCCCACTGGGGCCAATGCTGTCGTTGCAGTGCTGGCTTATACCGGGTATGTGGGGTGTGTTATAAAGGGGATGAATCATGGATGGGTGAGTGGGGCCAGCACGGCAGCGTATGACGACTATGCCATGGACCACTACCCCACGGGGGCCAATGCTGTCGTTGCGGTGCTGGCTTATACCGGGTATGTGCTTATACCAGGTATGTGCTTATACCAGGTATGTGGGGTGCTCTATAAGGGGATGGGTGGGTGGGGGGCAGCACGGCAGTGTATGACGACTATGCCTTGGACCAATGCCCCCTGGGGGCCAATGCTGTGGTGGCTGTGCTGGCCTATAACGGGTATGTGGGGTGTGCTATAAGGGGTACACTGAGGATGGTAGTCTCATCTCATGCTTGAACGCCTTCCCTATCGCACGCAAACCTTCCGCTTGTTGGCTTGTATTCCTTTCAACTTCAAGTGACTGTTCACCTGCCCGTTTACCTGCCCATTCACCTGCCTGTTCCCTAGGTACGACATGGAGGATGCGATGATCATCAACAAGTCGTCCATGGAGAGGGGCTTTGGCCACGGTTACATCTACAAGGTGCGGTTACATCTACAAGGTGCGGTTACATCTACAAGGTGCGGTTACATCTACAAGGTGCGGTTACATCGACAAGGTGCGGTTACATCTACAAGGTACTGTTACATCCACAAGGTACTGTTACATCCACAAGGTACGGTTACATCTACAATGCACCTGGGCCAATCCGATACCCACTCCCTGTACCCTCATGAGCCTTGTTTCGTTCTGCCACATCTCTGTCTGTCTTCCCGCCCGCCTGAATCCCGCTCCCCAACAGAACGAGGTGATGGAGGCCACCCAGGGCTCAACGTCACGTATGGCCAAGTCCATGCCGTCTTGAGGCGCCTCACAACTGTTTTTCCTCAAAACTGTCTCAAAACTGTCAATTGCGCCCGTGCCGCCTGAATCCCGCTCCCTTCAGAACGAGGTGATCGAGGCCACCCAGGGTTCAACGTCACGTATGGCCAAGTTCACGCAACGTCGCGCGATCATTATCTTGTTGCATTAATCACTATCTTGTTGCATTAATCACTATCTTGTCGCATTAATCACTATCCTGTCGCATTAATCACTATCTTGTCGCATTAATCACTATCTTGACGCATTAATCACTATCTTGTCGCATTAATCACTATCTTGTCACATTAATCACTATCTTGACGCATTAATCACTATCTTGTCGCATTAATCACTATCTTGTCGCATTAATCACTATCTTGACGCATTAATCACTATCTTGTCGCATTAATCACTATCTTGTCGCATTAATCACTATCTTGTCGCATTAATCACTATCTTGTCGCATTAATCACTATCTTGTCGCATTAATCACTATCTTGTCGCATTAATCACTATCTTGACGCATTAATCACTATCTTGTCGCATTAATCACTATCTTGTCGCATTAATCACTATCTTGTTGCATTAATCACTATCTTGTTGCATTAATCACTATCTTGTTGCATTAATCACTATCTTGCGACCCGAATTACGCCCTTGCCGCCTGAATCCCGCTCCCCACCAGAACGAGGTGATCGAGGCCACCCAGGGCTCCACGTCACGCGATCATTATCGGGTCGTATTAAACACTATCTTGCCACCCAAATCACTGCCTTGCTGCCTGAATCCCACTCCCCTCCCAGAACGAGGTGATCGAGGCCACCCAGGGCTCCACGTCACGTATGGCCAAGTTCACGCCGGCCGGGCTGCCCGTGCAGATGCTGGGGCGGGCGGCTAGTCACCGGCGCGGGCACAAGTGGACCATTGACACCGATGGGCTGCCCCGCCCTGGGGAGGTGCGTGAATGAACCCAAGGGATTAAGTGGGCGAATGGGAGGGAGGGAGGGAGAGAGGCAAAGGGCTGGCCTGGCAGGCAGTGCAGATGCTGGGGCGGGTGGACCATTGACACCGATTGGCTGCCCCGCCCTGGGGAGGTGCGTCTGTTATGAGGGGAGGGGGCGCGGAGGGAGGGAGGTAGGGGGATGATGGGGGGGGCGGCTGGCAAGGGGCCAAGGCGGAGGCGACAGAGCTGGTGCTATCTAAATCACACCCCCCCCCCTTCCTACTGCTGCCTCGTCCTCTGTCGTCCCTACCTCTGTGCGTCCTCACAGCACATAGTGGTGATGTGTACGCATGCAAGGTGAACACAACACAGTGACGGGCAAGGCGGATGAGATGAAGCTTAAGGGATTGGTTGGGCTCGTTTCCCCCCACCCCTCCCTCACCCCACTCCCTCCCCTCCCTTCCTCTGTGCCCCCATTACAGCACATAAGCCTGTAAAAACGAATACGAATACGAATAGTTTTGTGGACTATTCTTCGAATAGTATGGGGTTTCTTATTCGCCCGAATAGTGATCCTAACCGAATACGAATACGATTCGAATAGTGCCGAATCCGAATCAAATACGATTAGTTATCGAATCATTAATATTTAGGGTAGGCAACATTTAATCAGCTGAGTTTTTCTCATGTTCACACATCCATAAAACTGTTGTAGCACACTTCTTTTTCTTCCCGTGTTTATTGACTTTCTAAACAGGGCATTCTGCGCATGCTGTGGTGTTAATAGCAGCATTGCGTGCTGGGTATAGGGGAGACTCTTTTAGGAATGATAATAAATATGCGTATTGCAAAAGTGTACAAAATTAGGCTCGACAGGGCTAAACAATATGCATGGTTAAGTATTGAGGGGCTAAAATGCCAGAATAGCGAATAGTATCGAATACCCCGAATATTCTTGACCCGGTATTGTGATTCCCCGAATACTTATGATGCGAATATTTTCGAATACACCGTCGTTTTGTATTCGTACGAATTGAGGTATTCGAAGCGAATATCGAATAGTTTCGAATACCGAATATTCTTCTACAGGCTTATTTACGCATGCAAGGTGAACACAACACAGTGACGGGCAAGGCGGATGAGATGAAGCTTAAGGGATTGGTTGGGCTCGTTTCCCCCCCACCCCTCCCTCACCCCACTCCCTCCCCTCCCTTCCTCTGTGCCCCCATTACAGCACAGCACATCACGAGTGGTGATGTGTATGCATGCAAGGTCAACACAGTGACAGGCAAGGCGGACGAGATGAAGCTCAAGGAAACCTCCCTCCCTTTTGCTTCCCTTTCCTCCCTCCCTTCCCTTTCCCACCTCCCTTCCCTTTCCTCCCTCCCCTCCGTTTGCTCCCTCCTTTCCGCTACCCCCTTTACAGCACATCACAAGCGGCGACGTGTACGCATGCAAGGTGAACACGATGACGGGCAAGGCGGACGAGATTAAGTTGAAGGGGTCAGAAGATGCGGTGGTGGATGGAGTCACCCTCATTGGCACCGGTCCCAAGACAGCGCTCACTAAGGTACGACCCTGTACTGTTGTGGTGAGTTGTGGGAAGGGTGCATGGGAAAAGGGGGGGTTATTCTGAATGTCAGTGGTTAAGAGGGAGGCGCTAAGGCGCTGAAGGAGCTGAAGGGGTCGGAGGATGCAGTGGTGGATGGGGTCACGCTCATCGGCACCGGCCCCAAGACAGCCCTCACTAAGGTGCGAAGATGCACACCCCCCTGGATACAACCCCCCTGTGGATACACCCCCCTCGTGTGCACCCCTCGCATTCTGTCAAAGCTGTATCTCCCTCGGCCGCTGGAACCTCTCTGTACCCATCTGCACCCCCCTGTTCCCCCTCTCCCCCAGGCCTCTGTGTGCATGCGCTTTGGTCGCTTGCCACAAATAGGGGACAAGTTCAGCAGCCGCCACGGGCAGAAGGGAGTGCTGTCACAGCTCTGTAACTCACCTATGCCTCCATACCCCCTTGTTCACCCCTGTACCCCTCTGTACCTTGTGCCAGGCATCCGTGCGCATGCGTTTCGGTTGCTTGCCACAAATAGGGGACAAGTTCAGCAGCCGCCACGGGCAGAAGGGAGTGCTGTCACAGTCCTCACCCAATATCTCCCTTCTCCACCATCTGCACCCATCTGTACCCATCTGCACCCCCCTGTTCCCCCTCTCCCAGGCATCCGTGCGCATGCGCTTTGGCCGCTTGCCTCAAATAGGGGACAAGTTCAGCAGCCGGCACGGGCAGAAGGGAGTGCTGTCACAGCTCTGGCCCGACGTGGACATGCCCTTCGCCTCCTCCTCTGGCATGCGCCCAGACATCATTATCAACCCCCATGCCTTCCCCTCGCGCATGACCATTGGCATGCTCGTCGAGTCTGTGGCTGCAAAGGTGAGTGGAATGTGCTTGAATGTCTCTCCGCTTCTGTCGCCTCCCCATTCTATTGCCCACCCCCCCTCTCTCCGTCGCCTCCTCCTCTGGCATGCGTCCGGACATCATCATCAACCCCCATGCCTTCCCCTCGCGCATGACCATTGGCATGCTCGTCGAGTCTGTGGCTGCAAAGGTGAGACAAGACGTGAGCGCACAGATACCTGTCCTGAGTCAACTCGCCTCCCCAGTGCCTCCTCCTCTATGTCTCCCCCCTCTGCCTTTGCCTCCTCCTCGGGCATGCGCCCGGGTATTATCATCAACCCCCATACCCTCCCCTCCCATATGACCATCGGCATGCTTGTCGACTCTGTGGCTGCAAAGGTGAGTCCATCTCACCCCCAATCCTCCAGATTTTCCACGTCCACTGCCTATTAAACCCACACACCCCCTCCGCCCCCTACCTTGCCGCTCTTTGAAATCCCTCTCTAAACTCGTGCTGAATGTTGTTATTCTCATTATCTTCCCAACATTCCCCCCTCCCCCTGTCGGCCCTTCGCAGAGTGGATCTCTGCACGGAAACTTCGTGGATGCTTCCCCATTCCGCCCTGCCACGGTCAACCCCCCGCCCCTCACCATGAGCCTCAAGTCCCGCCAGCCCGCCCAGCGACGTGGCGCCTCCCGATTGGCCCGTCCCTCCGCTGCTACCCCAGGCCTCTCCACCCCTGTGCACCGCTCTAAACTGCACAAGAAATCTGGTGCCCCCCCCACCCCGGCTACTCCTGTCACTCCTGCTGCTGCTGCTGGTGCTGAGAAAGGGGCTGGAAGCTTCACACCCTTGGATCTCCCAACCCCTGCTTCATCTGCCACACCTAGCCAGGCTGCCAAGCCTGCTGCAGGTCCGGCAGGAGCAGGTGGGCTGGGTGAATCAAATCCGCCACAGAATAACGGAGATCTGGTGGACACATTCGGGCGGCAACTGGTGGAAAAGGGATTCAGCTACTATGGCACAGAGACTATGTATAGCGGAGTGTACGGGTGTGAGATGGAGTGTGAAATATACCTAGGAGTGGTGTATTATCAGCGGCTGCGGCACATGGTATCAGATAAATTCCAGGTGCGGTCTACAGGGCCTGTGAACCCTCTCACGCAGCAGCCGGTGAAGGGGAGGAAGAAAGGTGGTGGAGTGCGGTTTGGAGAGATGGAGCGCGATGCAATGCTGTCCCACGGCGCGGCGTTTCTCTTACACGACCGGTTACACTCATGCTCCGACTACCACACCACTGACTTCTGCTCTCTCTGCGGCTCCCTGCTCGCTCCGGCGCTGTCTCGTCCCCGAGGCGGGTCGGCAGGTTCGGATGCAGCTGTGGCGCTAGGCTTGGGGTTGGGGGCTGGTGTGGGGTATGGGACGGTGGGGGGGGAGCTGAGGCAGAAGAAGATGGTGTGTCGTGTGTGTGGCACGGGGAAGGGCGTGGTGCGAGTGGCGATGCCGTATGTGTTCAAGTATCTGGCTGCTGAGCTGGCGGCAATGAACATAAAGCTCACACTGGGTGTGTGAATCTGACATGCACGGCATGGCGTGTTAGGCTGCTGTAGGGTCTGTATCAGGCGTATGCATGGATATACACATCATAGAGCTCACTGCGATGAACATCAAGCTCACTCTGGGCGGGTGAATCATATCGTGGCATGGCTGCTGGCTTTTGCGGTGGGTCACATAGGGGTGGGTGCATTAGTAGTATCATGAGCGGTGGTGTGAGTGCCATTGACATTGCCCGTGCGCCTCGATTTGTCTCCTACACAGGCCCCTAGATTTGTTTTGGGACACTCTGATGGGTCAGCGTTCACCCTTCTCTGAAATCTGTCAGTCAGAGTTGGCTGAAATTTTGAGGCTGGAAATTCAGACAACACTACGTTTTTTAGGCTGAACATTCAGAGTTACGCTCAAATTGAAGGCAGATGACTTTTATACTACATAAAAAAAGCATTTCAACTATCTGACTCAGATTCGGACAGATGACTATCTACAACTGCCCGCTCAACTACTAGCTCCTCTACAAGCTCCTTCCCAGCCCTTGGGGACTCCCTGTGTCTTTCAGCAGGTGCTGTGACTGGCTGGCGCTTCTTGTAGCTGCGCCAAATCTCTACTACGTACACCAGGCACATCTAGCTCATAGTCTAGAAATGACATACACAGCAGATCATTGAGCCTACAATCCTTGATACTGCCCCTCTACCACGTCTTGATGAGATTATCAGAATACAGAACGAGAATGAATGAACCATGGAAGAGTTGGGTACAAGTACTAACCCTAATTGGGTTGTACCCCTTGTGGGCTAGCCCACTATAGCCTACACAAATGTAAGCACTATAACATTCTGACACACCCCCATAGGCAAAGTGGGGGAGAACAAGTGGTCACAAGACCAGTCAAAAAAAGCAAAGCAAGCTCAGGGTGGATCACAAAGTCACCACACATTCCGAGCACAAGCAAATGGCCACAAGGCCAGTTCACATGCAGAGTTATATAAAAGAGAACAAACAGTACAGTGATCATACCCTAGCAAGTGTAAGCATGCAGGTATATATATAGATAACAGTACAAGTAAAGTCACGTAGTGAGCAAATGAGGCAAAGTAGGCACAAGCCCTAAAACAGTACAGAAACGCTGATGGTCACCAGACTGAAGTGCCTTGGTGAATATATCAGCAGTGTTGGCCCGAGTGGCCATGTAAGCAAGATGAAGCTGACCATGCTGCTGCAGCTCTCGAGCAAGGAAGTAACGCAGAGCAATGTGCTTCGTTCTGTGCTCCAGTCTGTGCTCCTGACACAAGGCAATCATGGCCTTGTTGTCTACGTACTGAACTGGAGGAGAACGAGGCCGCTCTCCCAAGTCGGTCAGCAGGTAGGTAGCCAGCGTAACTCCAGTGCAGCCATGGCCCCTGCGTAGATCTCAGCCTCACAACTGGAACTGAGAACAGAAGACGAGCGGGTAGACCGCCAAGAAATAGAGCCGGAGCCAAGGCTGAAATTGTAACCCTGTGACGACCGCTGCGTAGCCAAGTCGTCAACCCAAGAAGCGTCTGTGTGTCCAGTGAGGGCAACTGGACCCCGTCCTCCAAGCACGAGCCCCATGCCCGCTGTACTGCACAAGTAGTGCAACACCCTCTTAGCGGCCTCCGAGTGCTTTAGTCGGTGTCTCCCGGGCGCAACGTAGCATGCCAGAATGCTAAGAGGGTAGGCAAGGTCAGGTCGAGTGCAGGTCATCAGGTACATGAGGCAGCCCAGAAGCACTGGATACGGGCCACTCGGCTCTACGGACTCGCCCGAAGGTGGAGCTGAGAGCGAGTGACTGGTAGGCAGAGGAGTGGACTGTGGCAAGGAGTACCGGAAGCTGAAGCGCTGAAGAACCTGGTGCACCATGTGTGACTGAGTCAGGGTGATGGTGCGTCGTGCTCTGTCTCGGGTGATCTGCAAGCCAAGATAGCTGCGCAGCTCAACCAGGTCAGTGCAGGTGTGTCTCTTCTGCAGCTCCGACTTCACGAGGGCCAGTGCCTCAGTGTCAGCAGTGGCAAAGACCAAGTCGTCGATGTACTCGAGGACGTAGAACAGCGGCAACGAAGTGTCGGTGCGCAGAAACAGCGACGGGTAAGGAGTCGAAGGAGCAAACCCAAGAGCCGCAAGCGTCGTCCTTAGTGTGTCGTGCCACTCACGAGGCGTCTGGCGGAGACCGTAGACTGGCCGCCGGAGGCTCCACTGGGTACCTGCAGGAAACGACCCAGTGAAGCTAGGTGGGCAGCCAGATCTCCTCGTGCAGGCTGCCCTGTAAGAAAGCTGTGCTGAAGTCAAGAGAGTGAAGCTCGTAGTCACGCTGAACGGCAACGTGCAGCAGCACCCGAAGAGTGGTCATCTTCGGGGTGGGGGAGAAGGTCTGAAAGAAGTCTACTCCCTCTCGCTAACGGAAACCTCGAGCAACGTAACGAGCCTTGAAGACAGGCGGAGAACCTGGCGGCCGCTTCACCCTGAAAATCCACATGCCACTGACGATGTTCGCCCCAGGAGGGGGAACCTCGTCAACGTAAGTGCCTGTGGACTTCCAGGATGCCATCTCTGCATCCATGGCTGTCTGCCACTGAGAGGAGTACTCACCCGCGATCGCCTCAGCGTAAGAGCGCGGGGTCGGGATGTCTGGTGCATCCGGGTCTCCCTCAGGGGCAAGCAGCATGGGCACGAGATGAGGCACAGCGGCTGCAAGACACTCAAGGTCCTCCTGCCTGTCCTCAAGGACGTCCGTGCCAAGAGCACACTCACCCCCGACGGACGGTGGACAGACAGACTCAGACTCAGCAACAAGACTAGTGGCGTAGTCGAGATGACCGGCGGCAGCAAAGTCAAAAAGCTCAGCAACTAGGGCAGACGCAACAGTGGACTCAAACGAAGGGTCAGTGACAACAATGGCTAGAAGATGAGGGTCAGTATGGCTGGCAGCACAAGCCAAGTCAGACTCAGGGTCAGGAACGGCAGGAAGAGAGGACTCAGGAGGAGGTGGCAGGGGAACTCGCAGTGGAACAGAGGAAGGACGAAGTGCCATAATATGAGTGCCGGGGACAGAAGGAGGACGCGGACGAGGAACACGACGACCAGTGCGAACAGCGCGAACAGGCAAGGCAAGACGAAACTCAGGCTCACGACGCTCTGTAAAAGAGTCTGTCTGCTCAGCGTAAGGAGAAGGAGCAGGCAGTGGGGAGTCTGGCTGTAACTGTGGCTGTGACTAGTGAGGCGGTGGACTCAGTAAGCTAGGAGGAAGGCCAGTGGAAGACGAGAGACTAAGAACCTGGCGAAGGACCGAGTCAGGTGGCGGCAAAGACGTCGGCAGTGGCGGAGCTAAAAACGGTCGCCGCTGCACAGTGCCTCCAGCACCAGTACCACCAGCTCCAGTACCCCCAGTTCTTGCCCGTTCCTCCACTGTTCTCCCGTGTCTGGCGGTTCCGTCCGGCTCACTCTCAGGTCTTCTCCTCCCCTCGTTCTCTACGAACTTGGTGAGTACCACTGCCCTCCAGGATGCGATGGTCACTACCACCAATCCTGGGGGTTAGCGTGTCGATCTGCACGTGTACACGGATGGGGCGTCACCTGGCCACGTTCACTCGTCGGCCAGGGTCGAGTCTGTACACACTCGCTACCGAGCCTTCTCAGGTAGCTGCGTCTGCTCAGGTGTCTGCGTCAGGTCAGGTAGCCGCCTCTTGCTCATGTCGCCTCCTGTCGCACCAGACTCTTCTGTGGCACCACCGCCTGGGTCACCCCTCCCTGCCACGCCTTCATGGCATGCACTCCCGTCTCCTTGTTTCTGGTCTTCCCAGGTCTCTGCCTCCCCTCCCGCCCTCGCCTGCCCCGCCCTGCCTTCCTTGCGTCGAGGGGCGGCAGCGCGCCGCTCCTCACTCCTCCTTGTTTCCCCTGACGACTGCTCCCCTGCAGACTCTCCACATGGACGTGTGGGGCCCAGCCCGCATCAGTGGACAGGGCCGTGAGCGCTACTTTCTGCTGGTTGTTGATGACTACACGCGTTACACCACGGTCTTCCCCTTGCACAGCAAGGGTGAGGTCCTGATGTCTTGATCCCTTAGATTCGCGCAGTCCGTCTCCAGCTCCGCGAGCGGTTCCACGAGGACCTTCCTGTCTTGCGTCTGCACTCTGACAGAGGTGGTGAGTTCTCCTCCGACCTCTTGCGAGACTTTTTTCGTGGGGAGGGCATCCTCCAGACGTTCACGCTTCCGGCCTTCCCGCAACAAAATGGGGTTGCTGAGCGCCGCATTGGCTTAGTCATGGAGGTGGCTCATACCTCCATGATCCATGCGGTTGCTCCCCATTTTTTGTGGTCGTTTGCAGTCCGGTACGCTGCGCATCAGCTCAACCTCTGGCCATGTGTCTCGTTGCCGGAGACCTCGCCTACACTGCATTGGACGGGGAAGGTTGGCGAAGCGTCGGTGTTCCGGGTCTGGGGCTCTCGTGCCTTTGTCTGCAATACTTCCGCGGACAAGCTCTCCTCCCACGCTATTCCCTGCGTCTTCCTTGGCTTCCCCCCTGACGCGCCTGGCTGGCAGTTTTACCACCCCACCAGGGCAGCTAGTGGGGCAGCGCTCTGTGGTGGGCCCTAAAAAAATTCGGTCCTAGAACAGGACTTGCTCTGATACTATGTCAGAATACAGAACGAGAATGAATGAACTATGGAAGAGTTGGGTATAAGTACTAACCCTAATTGGGTTGTACCCCTTATGGGCTACCCCACTATAGCCTACACAAAGTAAGTAATATAACATTTTGACAAAGTATCTGTCGAGAGAATCCTCTCTCACACTCGACGGTGCCTAGAGGCAGCACTGCAATCGCCACCCAGAGTCTGACGAGGTTGGGGTACGCTTGCTGCCAGTCAGGTGTCTTGAGAATTGCAGTCAGTCCCGTGTTGAACTTACGCTCGCTCTTAGTAGCTCTGGCCAAGACTGGGCACAGAGTCCGCAGCTCCTTCACGGCACACTTCTTGTCAATCTCTGCAAGTTAAG